GTTGGTACAGTGACTCTGTATTCCTTTCATCTTCTTTTGATGCTTCCTTCATCATTAAGTATTTTACCCATAGAATTTTTCAACATTGCAACTCAAGGCTTGAATTTTTTCTTTGGTTCTTTCAGCTTGAGAAATGCTGAGTATGTTCTTCCCTTTTTGTTATCTAACTCCAGATCTTTGTACATTTCATTATTATAATTGACTTTGTCTTCTCAAGCTGCTCTTTGAAATCTTCTGTTCAGCTTTTTTATCTCATCATTTCTTCCATTTGCTTTAGCTACTCTCCATTCAAGAGCAAATTTCAGAATCTCTTCTGACATCCATTTTGGTCTTTTCTTCCCTTCCTGTCTTTTTAAAGACCTTTTGCTTTCTTCATGTATGATGTTCTTGATATCATCCTACAATTAGTCTGGTTTTTGGTCATTGGTGTTCAGTGTGTCAAATCTATTATTCATATGGTCTCTAAATGCAGGTAGGATATAATCAAGGTCATATTTTGACTCTTGTGGACTTGTTTTAATTGTCTTCAGCTTCAACTCTAACTTGCATATGTGCAATTGATGGTCTGTTCCACAGTCAGCTCCTGGCCTTATTTTGGCTGAAGATATTGAGCTTCTCCGTTGCCTCTTTCTACAAATGTAGTTGATCTGATTCCTGTGTACTCCGTCTGGTGAGGTCCACATGTATAACCACTGTTTATGTTGTTGAAAAACAGTATTTGGAATGAATAAGTCATTGGTCTTGCAAAGCTGTATCATGCAATCCTTGGTGTCTTTTCTATCACCAAGGCCATATTTTCCAACTCCCAGTGATTCTTCTTTGTTTCCACCTTTCACATTCTAATCATCAGTACATCATCAATACATCTTGATTGCATGTTTGGTCGATTTCAGACTGCAGAAGCTGGTAAAAATCTTCAGTTTCCTAGTCTTTGGCTTTAATGGTTGGTGTGTAAATTCAAATAATAGTAGTATTAATTGGTCTTCCTTGTAGGTGCTTGGATATTATCCTATCACTGACAGCATTATACTTTAGGACAGATCTTGAAGCATTCTTTATGGCAATGAATGTCACACCATTCCTTTTCAATTTGGCCAAAACCAGTCCATTTCAGCTCACTAATGCCTAGGATATCAATTTGTATGTGTCCCATTTCATTTTTGACCACTTCCAATTTTCCTACAGTCATTATTCATACATTCCATGTTCCATTTATTAATGGATCTATGCAATTGTTTCTTCCCATTTTGAGTCATACCCCACCAGCAAACGGAAGTCCCGAAAGCTTTTCTTAATTCTCATCATTAAGGTCAACTGTACTTTGAGGAGGCAGCTCTTCCCCAGTCATATTTTGAGTGCCTTCTGACCTGAGGGGCTCATCTTCTGCCACTGTATCAGACAGTGTTTCAGGGCTATTCATAAAGTTTCCCAGTAATAATGTATCAGATAGGGTTTCACTGCTATTCATAATGTTTTCACTGGCCAGTTCTTTGAGAGGTGGAGGCTCCCTCCTCTTTCCTAGTCTTAATCTGAAAGTTCTGCTGAAATATGTCCACATGGGTGACCCTGCTGGTATTTGAAATACCAGTGGCATAGCCTCACAGCAACACACAAGACACAACAATACAACAAACTGACAGATGAGTGGGGGGATTAGAAACATACAAGGAGCAAAACGAAAAAGAAAGAGCAAAATATGAAAACAGAATTGAGATAAGCAAAAGAGAAATGAAGCTTCCAAAAACAAAAAATATAGTTATTAAAATAAAGAACTCATTGGGGAAATTTGAATATTGGTTAGGTATTAGATTAACAATTAAGGAATTATTTTATTTTGTAAGGTTAGAGATGGTATATTTGAACATGGAATGGGTATTAAGTTAAAAATTAAAGAATTACTTTAAGTCTCTAAGATGTGGTGATGGTATTTTTGTTATGTAGGAAGTATGTTCCCATTTTTCCACAGATGCATACTGAAATATTTACAGGTAAAATTTCATTCAGCTGAGGTTTTTTCTCAAAATATCTTAACATAGAAGAAAATATTGGTGTAATTATGATAAAGTGTTAATAATTATTAAAGCTAGATATTGGATAAATTTGCACTCAGTGGTTCTCAAACTTTAGTGTGACACAGAATCACCTAGAGAGCCTTTCAAAACACAGATTATTATTATATCTGACAAAGGACTTGTATCCAGAATGTATAAAAATTCAATAAAGAAAACCACACCAATTTAAAAATGGGCAAACACTTTGAATAGACACTTTACCACAGATATTGTTGGCAAAGAAGAACACCCAAAGTGTGCTTGACATTATTAGTTATTAGGCAAATACAAGTTAAAACCACAATGAAACACTCCTATACACCTATTAGAATGACTAAAATAAAAAGCAAAAAAACAAAACTGACATTATCAAGTGTTGATAAGGTTCTGAAGCAACTAGACCTCTCTCACATTTTGGTGAGAATGTAAAACAGTGCAGCCAGTTTGAAAAACAGTTTGGCAGTTTGTTTTAAAGTTCAATGTATCCAGAAATCCCTGGATAGTGCAGATGTTTAATGGACTTGGCTGCTAACTGAAAGGTTGGAGATTGAATCCACCCAATGATCCTCTAAAGAAAGGCCTGAAGGTCTACTTCCAAAAAAATCGGCCATTGAAAACCCTGTGGTACACAGTTGCATTCTGTCACACTTGGGGTTGCCATGAGTTGGAATCAACTCCACGGCAACTTTTTTTTTTTTTTTTAATTATTTGTTGGTTTGTTTTACCCTATGACCCAGCAATCCTACTCCTGAGTAGTATGGAGTGAAATGAAAACCATGTTCCAAAAAACACGTGTTGTTGTTGTTGTTATGTGCCATCAAGTCGGACCCAACTCATAGCGACCCCTCCTTGGGTTTCCGAGGCAGTATCACTACGGAAGTAGATTGCCCTATCTTCCTTCTGAGGAGTGGCTGGTGGGTTTGAACTGCCAGCCTTCTGGTTAGCAGTCAAGTGCCTTAGCCACTATGCTACCAGAGCTTCCCAAAAACACGTGTATAATAATGTTTATAATGACTGTATTCAAAATCACCAAAAATTGGAAAAATGTCTTTCACCTGGTGAATAGCTGGACAAATTGTGATATATCAATATAATGAACTACTACTCAGCAATAAAACAAACAACTAATACACACAACAACATGTATGAACCTCAAATAATAATGCTAAGTGAAAGAAATTAGACTGAAAAGCCAACTTACTGTATGATTCCACTTATAAAGCATTCTGCAGAAGGCAAACTTACAGAGACTGAAAAGGAGATCAAGTTTCCAGGGGCTGAGAATGGAAGGAAGGGCTGACTACAAACAGGCATCTCGAGAGAATTTGGGGGTGGGTGGTGGAAATGTTGCAAAACCTGATGGTGGAGATGGTGGTTACAAGGCATTTTCTAAAACTCTTAGTTCTTCACAAAGAGTAAATTTTATTGTATATGAATTTAAAAATAGAGAAAATTATTTGTTAATACAGTAAAATATACACACGGATTACTTGACCTCACTCCAAAAGTTTTTAATTTAGGAGATCCTATGTAGGGTTCAAGAATTTGCATTTCTAGGGACCAAAATTGGAGATCCTGGATAGAGTGAGAGAAAAATGTGGAATAAAAAAGTCCAGGCTCACTGGTCTGATAGAGACTGGTGAAACCTCTGACTGTGGCCCCTAGTTACCCTTTGGGCCTAGAATTGGACTCACTCCCATGGCTTAACCTTCAGCCAAACAATGGACAGGCGTACAAGGTGAACAATTATACCAGAGAGGTGCAATCAACCTTGGGGGATGAGAAAGGCAGCATTTGGGAGACAGAAATGTATAGGCAAGAGGGACACAGGCAATGGGTAACCACAGAGAGGAAGTGGGAGGAAAGCTGTTACACTGTGGAGAATGTAACCAGTGTCACAAAACAAAATGTGCACAGACGGTTAAAGGTAAAACCAATCTGTTTTGTAAAAGTTTCACCCAAATCACAATAGAAAGTTAAACAAAACAAAGTTAAAAAAAGAATTTGCATTTCTGGTAAGTTCCCTGGTAATACTGATGCTGCTAGTCCAGGGATCATACTTTGAGAACCTCTGTATTACATTATTCTACTTTCCTTATGTTTGCAATATGTGAAAATTTTCATAGCAAGTTACTTAAAAGACAGATTTAATTACAGATTAAGCACGTCCCAGAGAGGAAGAGAGACAGGAAATAAGAGAGAGGTTATGAGTCATGGAAGAAAATGTGGAAAGGCTCAAAGGGCATCTATTAAGCATTTCAAAAGAGGGAGAATGAGGGAAGCAATATTTGAAGAAATAATGGGAGAATGTTTTTTAGAACTAAAGCTAAGGGAGACCGACTTATCTTGGACTGCCTAGAATGTTTGAAAATGTGCCCTGTCAATTGTAAAGCGCAGTCCTCATGAAGTACTATTCAGAACCACACCAGTTTGAGTTCGCTCACATTCTGCAATCTCATATTGAAGTGGCTGCCTGCGTGTGAGGGAGCTCCCCATCCCAGCAGGTGTGTGAGCACAACCCTGGATGGTAGAGTTAGCAGACCTGAGTTCTAATCCAGATTGTACAGCTCACCTGCTGTGTGACCATGGATATATGTTGTCCCTCTCTGAGCTTCCGTTTCCTTATGTGCACAGCAGAATAGTACTACCTGTAATAATAATACCATCCATGGGGGTGTCAAAATGGTTAACCACAGAATGGTTGTGAAGCTCCCACAACTTAGTAGGTGTGCAGAACAATGTGGTTCAACCCAAGGGAAGGGACTGAGCCTTCTTTGAGAGAAGTAGCCACAGGAATCCCCCCAGCAGAAAATCAGATGGAGCTGGGGCAGGAAAGATCCCCTTTGACAGGTCACGTCCATGAAATGGAGAGATTCCCTAAATGGAAGAGATTTGCCAGATGAAGATGAAAGCTGAGCTCAGGAGCTCTTTTCCCTGTGTCTTCTGCAGATGATGGGCCTTACTCCAAAGGAGGCAAGGATACAGGAGGGGCTGATGTGACCTTGGTGTGCCGCAGACAGAGCATTCCAGGTAAGGGGGGGTCTCCCTTCTTTCTCTGTCCTGGAGGGGCAGGGAGACCTGGGTTCATCAGGGCTCTGCCACTAGCTCATCCTGTGACCTTGAACGAATCACTTCACCTCTCTGACCCTCATCTGTAAAAACGAAGTGAAATGACCCAATGTAATACAGTCAAGCCCTTTGATTAACAAGTGTGAGCCCAGTTTGTCCCCATACTGCCTGCTCAGCTCCCTTATCAATCGGCAGAGGAGTTCCGAGGGGTTACCATGGTGGAACTGATCAAGAAAGAAGGCAGCACACTGGGCCTGACCATCTCAGGGGGCACTGACAAGGATGGGAAGCCCAGGGTTTCCAACCTAAGACCTGGAGGACTCGCAGCCAGGTGAGAAAAGGGTTTGATGAGGGAGCAGGAAGGGGATGAGGAGGCGATGTGGGGGCCCAGGGGTGGTGGAAATGCACTAGGACCTTAAGCAAAACGTTCAAGGACTTTAGATGGTTGTTTCCAGGGGAGCCAAAGAGCTTGATGTCCAGGCAGAAAATACATGCAGTTGAACTCTGGACTGCCCAGTGTCTTCTCTTTCCCTACACAAGAGCCTGACCTGGCCACAGTGCCCTTCACTCACCAGGCCTTTGCATATGAAGTTCCTTCTACCTGCCCCACCCCTACAGTATCTTCCTGGCAAACGCCTATTCATCCTTCCAAACTCAACATAGCAGTCACCACCTCTGAGAAGCCTTCCTGACCCTAGGCAGCTGCTCTGGCTCTGCTTGGATAGCCCTGTGCCAAGCTTTTGCATACATGGCTTGGAGTTCCCCGGTCATTTTCCCTCTCCTACTTATTTACACTGTGAGCTTCTTGGGGATCTTAGAGTTAGCCTCTTCATTATTGCCTCTGTGGGCACTTGGTGCAGGGCCTTATAAATGTCCAGTTGAACAAAATGGAAGATTAGTGGTGAAAATCCAGGAAGAACATTAGGGAACAGCAGAGAAGGGAATGATCTGTCTGTCTATTCTGTGGACTTATCCGGTACCATAGTGCCAAGACAAGCAGACAGACCAGCCCTAGTGGAAAGGCAGGACTTGGTGCCAGACAGGTCTAGGTTAGAACCCTCTCTGAGTCTCAGCTTCCCCATCTGTAAAATGGGCATTCAAAAATCCTAAGTATTAAGCAGAAGACAGGTGTGGATGCCAGCACCATGCAGGCATGTGGAGGAGTTCATTGAGCTGTCTTTGTTACTTTGTGTGTGTTCTGGCATCTGCACTCCAAGGAGTGACCTGCTGAACGTGGGCGACTACATTCGGTCAGTGAACGGGATCCACCTGACCAGGCTCCGCCATGATGAGATCATCACCCTGCTCAAGAATGTGGGCGAGCGCGTGGTGCTGGAGGTGGAGTATGAGCTGCCCCCGCCCGGTGGGTGCCCTTGGATGGGATATTTTCTCCACTGCCTCGGTTGTGGGTGGACACAGCTGCCTCCTCACCGGGGCCTGGGTGGTGGGGGTCATGCCAGATGAGATGGGTGTCACCAGGAAACTGGCCACAAATATCCATACTTCTCCTAGGGGCTTTGCCTGCACCTGTGGTATGGTGTCACCAGGAGGTGGTGGGGCCTTGTTGATAACCCATTGCCATTTTTATATTTAGTTTCCAGATGCCTTGACTTTGGTGGGGTGAGGGAGGTTTTCCTTTAGGAAGGAACATTGGTTGAATAAATTGTCACCCCCTCCCACTGCACCCCCACACTCCACCACCCTGCATTGAGTATTGTGGCCTAGCTCTGACTTTTCAAAGTTGGTCTTAAGTCTTGAAATTTAACTAATCTGTCTGGAATTAAATACTGGTCTCAGCCTGAACTGGCCATGGATTTGAGTGGGAGTTCTGCCATTGATTGTCTTTCTAAGTGGTGGACTAACTTAGGTATTAGGAAGAGGGTCTGTCTAAGCCTCACTTTTCCTATCTATAAAACAAGAAAGGGTTTACCCTCCCTATAATTTCTATGACTGGCCACTCAACTCTCTTGGAATGGGCTTCTGGGCATCTACTGGTTTGGATAAGTGACTGAGCGACTCAAGGAGTCCTCCATTTCTCCCCAGCCTCAGAGAACAACCCAGGGATCATTTCAAAGACAGTGGATGTTTCCCTCTACAAGGAGGGCAATAGCTTTGGCTTTGTCCTCAGAGGTCAGTATAAGAGTCACCCTTAGGGTCAGGGGCAGGAAGAGGGCTAATGCTAATTTTGTTTGTGTTCTATTTTGCTTTAATGAATTTTTGTTTTGTTTTACTAATATGTTGTTTCTGAATTTAGGGGAACTGGGACCATTAAGTCAAATGTTGATGGAAACAATTGCTAAGTGATGAAGTGTGATGGTGGGGTAGGGAGTAAGGGGAGTTAGTTGTAGCAGAAAAAAATAGTGAAACCTACTACTAAGAGACTGAGAACTAAGTTTGGAACTGCCTAGCAGCTAGGGCAAAAAGGAAAAGAGGATGAAATTACAGGAAGGGAAGCAAGCCATTTTATAGAGAGGACTTCATGTATGTTCCCTACCCCTTCTTCCAAGTACCGATTTATAGTTAGTGTCTCAGTGTCTCATAAGATGGTCCGTGGAGAGTAGGGACAAGGTCCTTAAACTGGTTTTATTGAGAGATCCTATTCAGGGGCTGGGGCAGGGCCTCCAGGTTTCAGGAAAGGGGATGGGGTAGATGATTCCTGCTTCTTCTTCAATTCTGTTTAGGAGGTGCCCATGAAGAAGGGCACAAGTCCCGCCCGCTTGTCCTGACCTATGTGCGGCCTGGTGGCCCAGCTGACAGGTGAGTACTGGGCCTGAAGAAACCTTACATCCTTGCACTGCACTGACTTCCACCACTCCCCTGTGAAGAAGGCAGAATGGGGGCCATTATGCCCATTCCCCAGATGAATGATTTAGGCCCAGAGAAGGGGACACTGTTGCCCAGAGTTGTTCAGGGAATTACTGAGTGGAACCAGGACTAAACCCCAGATGAAAAAGATGCCAACATCTTTCTTCCCCAACATCCTATTGTCACAGGGGTGGGGTTAGGGAGCAAGCCTTGCTGCTCTTCCATGTGTTGCTCTTCCATGCCTTGGACCTTAGTTTTTCCCATCTTTGAAATGAGTCCAGTACTGTAGCCTTTAAGAGTTGCTGTGAGAGATTTGGGGGCAGGTTGTCCACCATTACTGTGACTATCTATAACCCAGTCTCCTGACTCCTGGCTGCACTGCCTAGCCCTGCCCTGCCTTGCCTGGGTCTGGCCCAGAAGGGCCAGGAAGAGAGAATGTGGGAAGGAACATGGCCAGTTCCCATCCCTTGACCCCCTGACCTCCCAGGCAGGAGATTCCTGGCCATTTTAAGAGAAGCCAGGAATGGCCTTGTTGGAAATCTAAATCTGCCGTTGGGACAGGGCTCTGTGATGAGCTATTCATAGAAACTCCCAGATTAGCTTTGGCCACTTGTCGGAGCATGCATTCTGGGTGGCGATGTGACCTGAACTGAGGTGAACTCAAGATGAGGCCCCTCCTCTGGGATCTCTGCTGAATTCTTTCTCATGCCCATTTGTCACCAGGCCAGAGTTGTTGCTAATAAACTAGGGAGGGGCCTTCCCCTCATGCTGTGTGCCCTGGTGGGGCTACCATCTCCTCCAGGCCCTGGCACTCTCCTCTTCCCCCAGGGCAAGAGGGTATGCGTGACCTCAAAAGGTTCACCAGCTTAGACATGTGAGGGCTGAGTTGGGACCGAATCTGTACCTGGACTAGGCACTGGGTAGGTGGGCAGGTGTCACATTGTCCCAACCAGGGCTTGATTTCCTACTCCATTCATTCACCCACTCACACGTTCATCCTCTCCCACCCTGTGCTCGTCTTTTGCACCCCACCTGCCTAGTGCCTGAGTGTGTGTGGCCCTTCCCTGCAGGGAGGGTTCCTTGAAGGCAGGTGACCGGCTGCTTAGCATCGATGGTGTCCCTCTGCATGGGGCCAGCCATGCTGCTGCCCTGGCCACCCTGCAGCAGTGCAGCCACGAGGCCCTCTTCCAGGTGGAATATGACGTGGCCACCCCTGGTGAGTGGGCCCAAGGGTGAGGGCTGGGACAAGAGAGGCCCAGGAATAGGAAGGACCAGTGGGTACACAGTGGGAGCAGTCACTGCTGCAAAGCCTCTGAGGCATTGGGCACCTCTCTGAGCCTCTGAACAATAATACTATGTGCCAGACATTGTTGAACGCACTTGAACAATATAGATGAGGTCTTTGTTCTCTGGCAGCTGACATTCTGGTGGGAGAGGCAGATAGTTAATACAATCAATAAAATAGAGTATGTGGGATGGCAGAGAGAGAGATGGGAAGAGTTAGGTGATGCTGTTTATTAGCTAGAGGAGTGAGTGAGTTATATGGATATCTGCAGGAAGAACATTCCAGGCAGAGGGAAAAGCAAATACAAAGGCCCTGAGGCAGGAGCCTGGCAGACATGTTTGAGGAGCAGTGAGGAGGCTGCTGTGGCTGGAGCAGTTGAGCGGGAGAGTAGGAGAAGGTGAGGGAAGAGTGGTCACAGGGCCAGAACCTCCTAGGCCTTGTGGGCCTCTGAGGATTTGGGTTTTTAATCTCAGTGATCTGACTTAATACCCATGGGGAGAATAGAATGAAAGGGAGGGGTAGAGGTAGCAGCCCAGAGACCTGTAGGAAGCAACTTCAGCCCTCCCAGTGAAAAATAATGGAGGCTGATCCAGGCAGCATGCAGAGGAGGTGAGGAGGAGGGGTCAGATTTGAGAAATATGATGAAACTTGAGCTGACCTGACTTACTGGTGGTTTGAACATGGCAGAGGAGAGAAGGAGGTATTAAGGATGATACTAAGCTTTTGAGTTTGAGCAACTGGCTGAGCTGATGGTGGTGCCATTTTCTGAGACAGAGTGGGATTGTAGTGGGTGCTACAGTTTTGTAGCTGGCATACAGCAGGTGCTCAATAAATGCTAGCAAATTATTCTCCTGCACAGCCCTGGAAGCAGAATCTCCCAGCCCTGCATCCCAGCCTTACCTCTCCTGCTGGCTGGCCAGGTGAATTTGGACAAGGCCTTCACCTCTCCACACTCAGTTTTCTTGTCTATAAAATGGTTGTAATAATCCCTCCTTGGTAGTGAGGATTAAGTGGAGATGGCAGTTAGGCTGGGGAGGAAGGCCCTCAGTATTTGCATCTTGAGCTCTCCTCTGCTTTCATGGTGCCAGATACAGTGACCAATGCATCAGGGCCCTTCATGGTGGAGATCACCAAGACTCCAGGCTCCACCCTGGGCATCTCGCTCACCACATGCTCCCACCGCAACAAGTCAGTCATCACCATCGACCGCATCAAGCCGGCCAGCGTGGTGGACAGGTTGGGCACATGCTGTATGCTGCTACGGGGGACTGGGGGGCTGTCTGAGAGGTGGCCCAGAGTTCTGTCCGTCCTGGCCCAGCCTTCCCCTCTACTCCCCACCTGGCCAGGAGCGGAACGCTGCATGCTGGAGATCACATCCTGTCTATCAATGGCACCAGCACGGAGCACTGCTCACTGCTAGAGGCAACCAAACTCCTGTCCAACGTCTCAGAGAAAGTGCGGCTGGAGATCCTGCCTGCACCCCAAAGTCGGAGGCCCCTCAAGCCCTCAGAGGCAGGTGGGTCCCCTGGGAGGACCTCAAGGATGAGACCTGAGGGCTGGTGGGGAGGAAGTGCTTGAGGCCTGAGAGTCCCAAGATCAAAATCCTGGGTAGGCTCAGTTTACCAGAGTAAACTTGACTGGAACAAATGTCCAGTTATACAGGGAAGCTGAAACTGTCACTTACGGCAGCTGAGGATGGGGTAATATGGCAGAGGAACAACTTAGGGGTTTGAGTTGATAGTCTGCTATCATGAATGTTTCCAAAGCTGGTTATAATGCTGGTTGCATTAATCAAAGTATAAGGGCTAGATTGAAGGAGGGGACAGAACTTCTGTGCTCTCTGATACTCACATCTTGGATCCTAGGGTGAGCTTGGGACCCTTGGTGGGTCCAGAGGAGGCAGCTGAGCAGGTAGGGAGATGCTAAAGCCCCTTCTATGAGAAGCCAGAGTTCTCAGCTTGGAGCAGGGAGCCTCCAAGAAGCTGGGTGCCAGGGGTTCCAAGAGGTTCCCTGTGTGACTAGGCATTTGACCCCATGTTTGTTAGAGAAGAACTATGTTCCATATTGGGGGCAAAACCAAAGCAAACTCACTAAAGACTGATTTAAGGAATTTAATACCAAAACCAAACTCGCTGCCGTTGAGTTGGTTCGACTCATAGTGATCCCTCCTTGGGTTTCTGAGGCAGTATTTCTACGGAAGTAGATTGCCTGATTTTCCTTCTGAAGAGTAGCTGGTGGATTTGAACCTCCGGGGAGGAAGCAGGAGCAGGGAGGCGGAGCCAGATCTGAGCCAGCCTCAGCTGACCCAACAGACTGCCCTGGAGCATAAATTACCACTGAAAGTTTAGTATGGGACAGAAATGGCCAGGCTTCATGACCCTCTTCCACCCTCCACTGTGCTGTCACTGGCTGGGACTGCCTTGGCTGGACCCGAAGGCACTGTACCTGGAGGCTGCCAGCCAACTGTACTCCTCCTTGTAGCTGACCAAGGGCTCTGGAGCCAGGCTACGTAGGCTCAAATAAATCCTCACAATGGGCCTTGGTCAGTGCCTCCCCCACCCCACACTGTCATGTGGCTGAGTAAAGATGCTGTAGCTGGTGTCCTGAACGTGGTACTGGCACATGTTGGGTGACCAGAACTTGGAAGCACTTGGCTTAGGAAAAATTCTTTGCTGGTCCCTGCTTTCCCCTTCATGGTGTAGATGGGGGCATCCCAGGCATGCTTGGTCTAATGCCTGTTGTACCTCTCTCTCCTCTTGCTCCCCGATCACAGTGAAGATGCAGAAGAGTGAGCAGCCACATCGCTGGGACCCCTGCATGCCCTCCTGCCACAGCCCCCGGCCCCCCGGCCACTGCAGGACTCCCACCTGGGCCACAATGGCCAGCCAGGACCAGAGCAGATGTAACATGCCTGACTGCTGTTGCTCACCTAGTCCCTCTTACCTTTCCCCAGAGAGGGAGCAGTGCCTTTGTTATAGGGGAGGAACCCAAAATGCAGAGAAATCTGGGGGCCTGCCCATCCTCCTATAGCATGTCAGTGGCTGCGATGTGTCCCTGCCCCTGATAGCTGGGTTTCACCAGGTCTATGAGGCCTAGAGGGGAAAAGAGACTTCTTTGAGGTCATGCAGCAAGTAGTTAGTTGAGGTGAAAGGGTGAAGGCTTCCCCAAGTCTCCCTATACTGGGGTGGCTTCCTGGCATCCACTGTGGGGCAAGGTGAAGGGGCCCAGCTAGGGTTCACGGGGCTGTGCCCTCATCTCCCCAGCCCTGTCCTCGACTCCCTTTTCCTCGCCGACCATGAACCACGCCTTCTCCTGCGCCAACCCCAGCACTCTTCCCCGTGGAGCCCAGCCGATGAGCCCCCGGACCACAGTGGGGCGGAGGAGGCAGCGAAGAAGGGAGCACAAAAGCTCACGTAAGCTCCTTTTGGGCCATCTGCAGGCCTGAAAGCAAGGTTTATTAAGAATGAGGGGTATTTTGGTCATGGCTCTGGGAGAAGGTATTAAATAACATGAGTGATACACCAGGCTGCCATGCATGGTTGGGCAGGCTGTGCACTGCCCAAGGGCATACCTACAATACACTAGTACTTCTAGCTTTTTTTTAAATAAAAAATTCCCATCAGGTTGTGTGAAGTGTCCTGAGGTAGAAATCCAACCAAAACCCACTGTGTCATCGAGTCAATTCTGATGCGTCACAACCCTATAGGACAGAGTAGAACTACCCCATAGGGTTTCCTAGCCTGTAAATTTTTATGGAAGCAGGCTGCCTCATTATTCCTTCATGGAGCAGCTGGTGGGTTTGAAGTGCCGACCTTTTGGTGTGAGCAGCCATACTTTAACCTGCACCACCATAAGGATGTCTTTTTAGATTTGCATAAAAGTTGCACAATAATTCCACTTTATTATCCTTTCTTTCTGCCCCGATCTATTCCAGGAGAAACTCTCAGTGTGATATTACTGTATCTTTACCACCTTTCTTACATTTGTTAATTTCTTCTAAGACAAAAACACACGGGACTGAGACTGTCTATCCAGATTTTAATCATTTCTGTTTGAATTATTTTGTTTGGATAAGTATTTCCAGTTACCTTTTCTTTATAGATATTTCTGTGTACTTATGATTGCTATATATAGTTCCCCTTTGAAATGAAGGTACTTATGTATTTAAAAAATGTGAATCAATGTAAAGGCAAATAGTTATGAATTATAATGCAGGGGACATGTAGAAGTGGTAAAAGTAATGAGAATGCCTGGAATTTTTAAATCTTTCCTGGAAGAACCTTTCCTTGGTTGATGGAGAAAGTGTTCCTAGCCTCTTGCCATGTGAACTGTACAGGTCTCCAGGAATGACAGAAGGTCAAGCTTTGGGGGTTTGGGATTGAGCCAGGTGAGGGAGGAGAGGAATATAGGTCATTTGGCATCTGAAAGGAGATAAATATGATTCCAAGCCTCCTGGAAGCCTAAGTGAAAAGGAAGCAGATTTCAGAGTCAGATGAGAGATAAAATCTACCTTTGCCAATGACCAAAGTTAGGGGTGAATAGATGAAGCACAGAAATGCAGTTCATAGCACTGGGAAATGTGGAGGGTGGGAGTTCTTGGGACCCCCTGCCTGTCCTCTTCCTAGGATGAGTGGTTAATAAAGTATTATCATTATTATTGTTGATTATAGCAATTAATTAATTAATTGCATGTAGTGCCTAAGTTATTTGACTGCTAACCAGAGGTTGACATTTCAAACCCACTAGCCACTTTGCGGAAGGCAGACTGGACAATCTACTTCTGTAACAATTTACTGCCTCAGAAACCCAAAGGGGGTCGCTGTGAGTCAGAATCGACTCAATAGCAATGAATTTTTTTTTTCTGTTATGTACCAGTCACCATTCCTATTATTGGGAATATAATAATAAAAAAAAATGTACCTAATAACATATTACACATAACAACATAATATGTGACATACATTGTGGTGTGTAATATAAAATATAATATGTAATAAAATAATACATAAAGATACAATGGTATATAATTAGTAATAGAATGAAATGCAGCAGTAAATTTTATTTAGTATATAAAACCTCAAAAACTCATTGCCATCAATTGATAGTGACTCATAGCGACCCTGTAGGACATAGTAGAACAGATCCACAGACTTTCCAGTGCTCTAAATCTTTATGGAAGCCCATCTTTTTCCTGTGGAGTGGCTTGTGTATTTGAACTACCAACTTTTTGGTTAGCAGCCAAATGCTTAACCACTGACCATCAGGGCTTAATAACTGTAATAATACTATGAATGTGTTTTGTGACTGGAATATAAAACAATATCCATTAAAAATAATGTATCAAATAGTTAAACATAGAGTTACCATTTGACCCAGCAATTTCTCTTCTAGGTATATTCCCAATACAAATGAAAACATATTTTCATATAAAAACTAGTAATGAAAGTTCATAGCAGCACTATTCATTACAGCCAAAAAGTGTGAACAACCCAAAAGTCCCTCAACTGATGAATGGATAACAAAATGTGGTGTATCTATATAATGGAATAGTATTTGGCCATGAAAAGGACTTTTGAAACAACTACAACATGAATGAACCTTGAAAACACTATACTGAGTGAAAGAATCCAGAGACAAAAAGCCCACAAATTGTGTGATTCTATTTATATGAAATGTCCAGAATAGGTAAAGAGACACAAAGTAGATTAATGGTTGCTTAGGGCTGGTGAAAATGGGGAGATGGGGGAGGGGGGTTGACACCTAAATGGAACAGAGTTTCTTAAGACATGATGAAATTTTCTAAAATTGATTGTGTTGATGATTGCACAAGTTTGTGAACATACTAAAAACCATAGAAATATGCTTTAAATGAG